ACCCATACAGATGCTAACACACACACACACACAAAGAAAACTCATAAAAACAAGATGGGAAATCATAATGTAAAGCAAAATATTCATAAGGTTAAAAAATAAATGCCTAGAAAAAACATTGTGTGACCAAAAAAACCCTCCTAAAATAACATTGAGATTTGTTAGTGTTGGCCATCTGCCACTGGACATGGGGCCTACCCTAAGCATTATTTATAGACCCAATGAGACCCCAATTTATCATTTGCAAGTGATTTATAAACTTGAGATGTCTGCTTCCCCTGGGAGCCCATCTGGCTTAGAGATGTGTAGGATCTGTGCATGCTGCCAGTCTCCGTGAGTTCGTAGCCGCATCCAACATAGTGTGTGCAGACGGCCTCGATTCCTAAGTGTGTTCCATCTCTCTTGGCTCTTACAGCCTTTCTGCCTTCTCTTCCAGAGTTCTCTGAGCCCTGAGGGGAGGGATTTGATGGAGGCATCCCAGTTAGGACTGAGTGTCTCTCATTCTCTGCACCTTGTCCAGTTGTGGGTCTCTGCATTTGTTCCCCTCTACCGCAGGAGGAAGATTCTCTGATAATGGCAGCAACAGTGATCTGTGGATGGCAGAATGCCCTTAGGAGTTGTTTTATTGCTTTGTTCCTTTAACAGAACAATAGTATTTGTTTTTCCCCCCTAGGTCCATGGTGTATCTAGCCTCAGGTTCTTAACCATCTGGGCGTGTGGGACATCGGTTCCATCTCATGGAATGGGGCCTTAAATCCAATCAGATAGTAATTGATCACTCCCACAAACTGTTCTACTCCACAGCATGTCTTGCAGGCAGGTCACCATTGGAGAGCAAGGGTTTGTAGCGGGGTTGGTGTTTACCTTTCTCCTTTGGTAGCAGACAGAGCACCATGAATTACTCAGCAGGGGTGAAGGCCCTAGGTAGGCACCAGCTGGCTTCTCCATGTTCACTGAGTTATGTGGGTGTTGTCTTCAGCAATATGGAGTTGCCATCAGTTTGTAGAGAACAACCAATAGCCTCGGCTATAGCCTGGGTTATTTGGGGATTTCCATGGAGCCCCTTAGGCCAACAACTCAATTAGATGTAACCCGTTTCCAGCATTGGAAGTTTTATTTGGGGGTTTGCTTTCTTATAGCACCCAGGACCACCAGCCCAGGCATGAAACAACACCTCAATGCCCTACAGGCTTGTCTACAGCCTGATCTTGTAGAGGTATTTTGTTAGCTGAGGTTTCTTCCTCTCAGATGAAGCTTATACATAGTCGATATAAAAACTAGCCAGCATACCTACTGTGTCCTGGGACTCTGCTATGCAGAAGGAATAAACATAGAAAATTTGTCTCATCCTTAGTGGAGCCAAAGGGACAAAGCATTTGGCAATCTCTCTAAACAAAAGCAAGCTAATATCAAGATGGCACAGATAATAGCTCACAATGCTTCATGTAGCATAGAAAATTGCTCTTCACAAATACGGTCTAGGTTTTGTGAACTGAGGCTGAGATACGGATTGCAGCTTGCTCAGAATTAGAATGTTGGTTCCTACTGTGCTTACACAGTGTTATATTGTTTCTAAATATAAAGAATTACATTAAATGATAACCCTAAACACTATATAAGTTCAGAGAAAGGTAAAATATACTCTTGTGTTAGTGGGGGAAAGTTACTTTTTCCCCAACTAGATAGTGAATTACATGGTGGATTCTAATTTTTCACTGTCTCCTACTGCTTTTGACCCTTCTCTTCTCTCCTTCAAGTTTAAGAGTATCTCAAATTTCCCTTTGGCTTTTACTCTTCTGGTGATAGAATATTTAGGAAAGTCCCTCCCTGCGTTTGAGACACCTTTATCTAGGAAGAACACTCCATCAGCGTTAGACATGTGGGCCTGAAGAAAGAGGCCTGAGGTAGGAGTCAGAGCCCAGAGAGCTGCCGTGAAAGGTGTCCTGCTACCACTTAGGAGCTAGCAAGCCAGAACTTCTCTTCTCTCCTCCAGCTTCCTGTCACTCCACAGGATCTGCTTAAAGCCAGGAAAATATTTGGAGCCAATAAGAGAAGAGAGACAGTTGACTCCTAACAGGAATTGCTCACATGGCTTAAAGGTAGGACATCAGATCTGAAACCTGGTTCACCCCCGTGGCCTCTACTTGGTCTGGACACTAATCCATGTTGATGGCTGCTAGCAGCAGTGGCTGCAACCATAACAGCATCATCAAATTTCCAGCTCAAGTTTACACTCGGCTCTGAAAATAGAAACACTGGTTAGACTGTCTGCCAATTAACACCACCTACTGGGCCCTTCCTAAGGGCAGAACTGGAAGGAACAGAGGGGGGAATGACCTGTGGTCTTATGGGAAACACAGAACACACACACACACACACACACACACACACACACACACACACCAAAAACTCATGAATTTCTTCTATTCATCTACTAAGAACAGAAATAACTACATGCGATAAGTAGCTAGGATGAAATTCAGATGTGGAATACACAAATCATTGGTGTGAACAAATCACAACTTTGTTCTTCAGGCTCTTACCATCTTTTCAAATGTTACCTAGGTGTTAGATTGTTATCTTCCTTGGTTCCTGAGTGGAAATTTTACTTTTTGGTTCATTCTTTACTAATTGATAGTCTTTTACGAAACAGTCCCTTAAAATTAAAAAAAAAAAAAACACAGTCTAGATGAGTTTACTCAGCAATTAGAATGTTTCCAGTACAAAATGTTAGATTCTCAAATCTTCATCCTAAGGTATTGTCAGTCCAAGACTGCTCTCTCCTTTCCCCCAAGTAGGGCCCATGGCTGGTAGCTGCCAGCTTTCTCCTCACACACCACCAAAGCTCCCCTCCCCATTAGCCCACTGCTATTCTATCAGCTTGTGTAAAAGTGGGAGGAGGCTAGACACCTGAATCCAGGAGCTGCTCTTTGGAAGGCCAGCACTGTATCAAACATGGTAGAAACTGATTTTTTTTCCCCTATAGGAGGCATTTGACAGTTCTTTGGAGATTCCCATCATCAGAGCCCTCTTAAGCAAAAGCTTTTGGCCTAGAGAGACATGGAAGTGGTGGCCTACAACAAACTATGGATTTTATGATTCCTTTGTCTGTCTCTCACTTCAGACCGTCTTGGTCCTCCATGCCTCTAGAAAACCCTTTAGGCAGTAGGCAACTCTGTGTTGTCTGTCTTCTATGTGGCCCACATTTGGTGTAAGGACATACCAATAAATCCACTCTTTACAGCCACAGCCTTCTTTCACTGTCAGGAGCTGCCTTTGTGTGAGCCATGCCCACGTTGGGCGCCTATATGACTTATATGGTGCCCAACATGGGACAGCTTGCAATATTTTACTTACAGGCAAAACTGTTGATATAGTACTTGACATTACATCAACAGGGAACACTTTTCAAACTCCCCAGTGCCAAAAAAGTTCATTTTTATGCTTGAGGAGAAAGAAGTATTTAGGTGTGCAGATAAAGGAAACTCAACAGCACATTTTTTTCCCTATAAAATTCTTCACAGGTCTCTCTCCTTCCTATAGTCCCTTGGGTTTCCTTTAGAACAGAATGTTTCTTCAACATTGACTCTTGTAGATGTGATGGTTCTTAACTGCAATCAACAATGATCACGTTTGTCTTACAAACCTTCATCAAAAGGAACCGTACTTCATCTCTGCCCCCTGAAAAGCTGAGCCTGTAAGAAATAAGAGCTCAGTAAGCATTCTGGGAATGGGAGAATCTAAAACTTACCTTTGTTGTGATGTCAGTCTCCAAGACACTTCAAAATAACCTGGATGGGTAGACATTAACACCTAGTGGCAAAATGCTGATTTTTTTCTAGTAATTTATAGTCTTTAGTATTTACCAGTCAATA